AGAAAGCGAGAAATCACCCCCCAGGGGGGATGGTCACGCCGCAATCCCTTCTCCTCCATTCTCCTCTCAGGATCTTGGGCATGCACGCACACGCGCCCGGTGTGAGTTTTAAGCCACCGGGTCCGGGACACGAACCGCGGTCGACTACACGGGAGTCCAGCGACATAGCCATTACGCTAACTGCCTCCTCTCTCCTCTTGGGATCTTGGGCACGCACGCACACCCACCCGGCGTGAGTTTTAAGCCACCGGGTCTGGGACGCGAACCGCGGTCAACTACATGGGAGTCCAGTGACATAGCCATTACGCTAACTGCTGGTTCCCATGGCATCAGAGTCTTGACACTAGACTGACTCGCCCTCTTCCTCTGAGCTTCTTCCTGATTCAGAGCTCTGTCCGGCCCTGACTGTGCCCCAGGGTTTGCTGCTGACCAGTGCACAGCTGACCTCCAGCGTGGCAGCTGCTGTTGCTAGTTTCCTTTCTTCCCTGCAGACATTTCCAGGTGGAATCTGCTACCTTCGAGCTTCTGTTGGTGCACAGTCAACGTGTGCTATGAGGCCTGCGTCAGTAAGCGAGTGCTCACCTCTCTGCCTCCTCGGGGTTCTGACCTTGTTGCTGTGCCCATCCAGCCTGCATGGTGAGTATGGCGGGTGCTGGCACACAGGGCTCAGGACAGCTGTGTGAAGTGCACATGAATGAAGAGCAGGTAGTTTGACCAATCAATTACAAATGCATTTATTCCACTCTGGGAATTTTAAAAGTATGGTCATAATGGAGTCATTTATACCAATTTGTGAGAGGTATAATACATGGTTTTATTAACGTTTATTAATAATTAACAAATTAATTGTTTTATTGATGGTATAAAATATTTATTAATTTTTATTTTATTTATTTATTTTTTTTTTTTTTTAGAGAGATTTTCGCTAAAGAGCATGTGCGCTCGCCAGACAGACAGAGACATAGAGACAGAAAGCGAGAAATCACCCCCCAGGGGGGATGGTCACGCCGCAATCCCTTCTCCTCCATTCTCCTCTCGGGATTTTGGGCACACACGCACACGCGCCCAGTGTGTTTTAAGCTACCGGGTCCGGGACACAAACCGCGGTCGACTACGTGGGAGTCCAGTGACATAGCCATTACGCTAACTGCTGGTTCCCTTAATTTTTATTTTATTAATGGAAAATTTTAACTACAAAATAGATTTTTTTTAGCTTTAATATAAGGCATGTGTGCTCACTGGAGAGAGACAGAGAGAGGAGGAGAGAGGGAGTAAGAGAAAGATCACTTCCTGGGGAGGGTGGCCACACCACAATCTCTTCTCCTCCATTCTCTTCTTGGGATTTTGAGCACACACATACATGCGTCCAATGTGATTTTCAAGCCACCAGGTCTGGGACTTGAACCATGAAGCTGGCCATGTGAGATCCAGCTGCCTTAACTACTATGCTACCTAGGTGCCCAGACTACAAAATAGTTTTGAAGATTGTAATACTTTAGATATATACTATTACCACCACAACAAAAAAATCTCGAGAGTATATAAATTCCTGGGGACCCATCCGAGTAAATAGAAAAAAAGAATTGCAAGTAACTTCATCATTTTACATGTAAATATAAATGCAAAAATGCTTAAAATTCTTTTTTACAAAATAAGTTCATTAGTCTGTTTTTAAATTTTTTTTTTTTTTAAGGTTTTTGCCATAGGGCATGTGTGCTCACTGGAGAGAGACCAAAAGAGATGGTGAGAAATCACCCCCTGAGAGGATGAGTATGCTGCAATCCCTTCTCCTCCATTCTCCTCCTGGGATTTTGGACATGTAAGCACATGCACCCGTTGTGAATTTTCAAGCTGCTAGGTCTGAGACTAGAACCACGGTCAGCCATGTGGGAGTGCAGCACCATAACCACTACACCACCTACTGGCCTCTATTAGTCAATTATATTATTGTTTACTAATCAGTTGTCATTTTTTGTCATCTCTAAAGCAAAACTGAAACTGTTCCTGTTGTTATTAATACTGAGAAAATTAACTGGATTCTAAATTCATAGAACTTGCATATAAAAGTCAACCATAAAGTATTATGTAAATATAAAGTTTTATTTTTACAATTTTTACAATTTGGTAGGTAATTTTTATTATTCAAGCTATTGAACCTTTCCCTGTAAGTTTTTTTCTATAAAAAATGAAAAACACAGAGCATTTTGAGGGTTGGTGGGTGGGGAAGTGGTCAAAGATTTTAGATGTGCAGTCTTTACAAATTTTCACAGAGCAATATTTCTTTACCCCAAATATTTCTTCAGTAATTTCAGTTAAACAAAAACAACAAAAAAGACTCCTTTGTTATTGACTGAAAGTTTATATCTAAAAGTCCTTCATCATTCCTAAGTAGCACCATCCATAGCTGAGGCAGCATGTTGTAAAGAGCCTGGTCTTGATGGAACAAAGCTACACTGACTGCTCCTCAGTAGCTGTGTGACCTTCGTCAAGTTACCTTACTCCTCTGCTTCTTTTTTCTCACTTGTAAAATAAGGGTGATCATATGCCTACCTCACAGTGTTGTTTAGGATAGGTATGAAGTGAGTTTATATTTGTTAAAGACTTAAAACTTGGCCTGATTCACCAGAGAGAGAGGGAAAATGAGAAATCATGCCACCCAGGAGGGATGGCCACACTATGATCCATTCTCCTCCATCATCCTCTTGGGATTTTGGGCACACACACACACACACACACATCCTAACATCAACTTTTCTTAATTCTTGGTCACATGATAATACGAGGGGAGACATCTCCACTTTGTGAATTATGCCTCGTTATTAAAGGACAATGAAATTGATTAAGAAAGATAAAAGTCTTAGGGGCCAGCAGGTGGGGTAGTGATTAAGGCACTGGACTTCCACATGGTTGACCATGGTTTAAGCTCCGGACCCAGTAGCTTGAAATTCATGCTGGTTATATGTGTGTACATGCCCAAAATCCTGAGAGGAGAATGGAGGAGAGGAGATAGTGGCATGGCCATCTTCCTAGGGGTGATTTCTTACTTTCTGTCTCTCTGTCTCTCCAGCGAGCACACAGGCCCTATAGCAAAAAAAAACTCTCAAATAAAATAAATAAATAAATAAGAAAGATTAAAGTCTTTCAATAAATCTCCTTAGTTCTGCACTATTTTGTATTATAAGTTAAAAAAAAAAATAGAACACGGGGCTAGCGGGTGGTATGGTGGTTAAGGTGCTGGATATCCACAAAGCTGACCATGGTTCGACTCCCAGACTCAGCACTTAAAAATCACGATGGGTGTGTATGTATGTATTCCCAAAATCCCAAGAGGAGAATGGAAGAGAAGGTAATGTGTGGCCATCCCCCCGGGGGGTGTGATTTCTCGTCTACCCCACCCCCTACCCCACCATCTCTCTCTAGCAAGCACACAGACTCTATGACAAAAACTAAAAATAAAATAAAACTTCTTTCTTCCTCTTTTCCTCCATCTCTCTCTCTTGCTATCCAAGCTTGCAGTTCACCTCCCAAGATTAAACATGGATACTTTAAGGATATTAGTGAAAGCTGGTATTCCCCTACCGTGGTGCAGTATGAATGTGAGGAAGGATACGCTCTGGTGGGAGCAGCTACAATCTCTTGCAGGCTTTTTGATTGGTCATCTCCAGCTCCTCAATGTAAAGGTAATCCAGCCTCCCTGGGAAAGCAGTGGTAAGTGGCAGAACCACAGGAAAGGGATTCAGAAGTGAATCAGAGATCAAGAGTGTCCCAGAGGCAGAGTTGCCATGTGCAGTGTTGGAGTCTAAGTAAGGGCAGTCATGGCTTAATTCCAACTATCTTTGAAACAACACCCCGGGGGTTCTTAACCAGGTCAGTGCCTCTCACCCGACTGTTGACCCATGGGTTTAATCTCCCCATTGATCAAACAACTGTTTGTCAAATGACAGAAAAATAAGATGTTCCTAAGAAGGTTATTCACATCCTTTTACTCACAATAATCCCATTGTACACAGGAGAAAACAGAGGCAAGAAGAGAAGCCCTGTGGTAAAGAAGTAAACACCTCAGATTCTGGACTTAAATACTTCGGGTTCATATCCGGCGCTGCCGCTTAGAAGCTGCTGCGTGATCTGGGTCAATACATTTTTGCCTCTTGATGCCCCAACTTTCTCATCTCTACAATGGAGTCCCCGGTGCCTCCTTCACAGGCTACCGAAGGCTTCGTGAAATAAGGCATCCGCTTGGCTCCTACGCTGGTCTAGGAAGTGCTCAGTGAATACTACCTAGTGGTAATATTCATAGATGTGGTAGGGATGGTGGCAACAGTGGTATAGAAGTGTAGAAAGAAAAGGTGGGATTCAGCAATATTTCTTATTCCTTTCATTCATTATCAGTGTTGAAACGTGTTTTCCCTGAGATTCACAGGGGACTAAGATCATGTGTTTTGATGGCAGCTCTGTGCCTAAAACCAGAAGTACCAAATGGAAAGCTGTCTGTGGAGAAGGATCAGTACGTCAACCCCGAAACTGTCACCATCCAATGTGACCCTGGCTACAGAATGGTTGGCTCTGCAAGTATCTCTTGCTCAGAGAACAAATCTTGGAGCCCAGATGTACCCAAGTGTGAAAGGGTGAGTAACACTCATTCAGTAAATGTTTTGTCATATAACCCCTTATAATAAATGACAGGAAAATGAGACAATTTATGAAATGGGCAAAGTAATGATAAGTCTCAAAGGACAGTCTCATTTGTTGTGAATCTGCAAGGTATTAACAGGTGGCTTTTTCCACCTTGGAGCATTGTGATGAGTCTGTGGCGGTAGGCAACTTTATCGCATTTGTTTTAGAGCAGGTCAGTCCAGGTGGACAGGGGAGTGCTATTAGCCTGAGGTCCTGGCCCTCGTTCTCAGTGTTTTCTCTAACATCCAGTGTACTTTTGCTAATTTCTGGCCAGTTAGCAAAACCGTCACGCCAGTTGTTCTTCCAGATGTTTTGGAGATTCCTTTACATCTTAAACTCCCTCTCTGATCTGATACTGATTATTACCTAAGAATAGATAGAATTCAGCTCTCAGGGAAATATTTCATTAAGGTTCAGAGTATTTTTCTGGAATTTCTTGCCCATCATTCGTTCTTTCAATGTTCTTCCTGTCATGAGTTTTCCTGACAGAAACACAACCCTTTACAAGGAAAGAGGAACTTTCAAAAAATCATCACTTTTATTTTAGTGCCAGAGGGCCCATGCTTGCATGTGAGAGGGGACCCCTTTCTCTCCCGATGTAGCTTGGTCACAATCTTTTCCCCCACAATTCTTTATCCCATTAGGATCCTGGGCATGCACACATGCAGTGGGTTTGGAAGCCACTGGGGCCAGGACTTGAACTCTGGACAGCCATATGGGATCTAGCTTTCTCTGTGCAGCACTTAACCACTGTGCTATGGGACCAGATCTGAAGTCACCATTTTTATTTTCTCTTTCAGGAAGTCCCTGAAGATCCTAATATAGTTCTAGGAGGCAGAAAGCTCTTACACTGTCTCCCAAGTCATAGGGACTCAAAAATGGCCCTGGAGTTACATAAACTTTCCCTGGAGATTGAAAAACTGGAGCAAGAGAGAGACAAAGAAAAAAGCATTTAAATATATTGCACCTACTTTTTAAAACGATGGAGAAAAATTTGCTTTTCTGTACAAGCTCTAGAGAGAAAATCTCAGTGTGTCAATCCATTTAAGCAGTATCATTTATTGCAATAAATAACTTTAGTAAAACTTGTTAATACGCATATGATCCTGGGATGTAGTTATTAATAACATATAATTATTATTCAGCTTAAGTTTTTACTTTTCTGAAATTGGCAGGTTAACCAAAATAAATAATATTAAATGGAGTCTGTACAAATTTTTATTCAGATATCTACATCATGTGGGTGTCCTCCACCAGTCTACTTTCTAAAGTCAGTTGAGTTTATTTTCCTTTGTATATCTCAGTGGTTGTGAAGGACAATGAGTTATAGAATAGTGTTCATGTGATTCTTTTTTTTTTTCTTTTTGGGTATCAGGTGTAGAGTTTAGTAAATTACATTCTTTTATAAGAATTGTTACCCATGGAAAATGTAAGTACCCTACTCCTTTTTCTTCCCTTATTTCTCTCTTTTTTTTAAATTATTTTAATTAAATTTCTTTCTTTATTTAAATTTGACCAGATAGAGAGAGAAAATGAGAAAGCAAGTCACCAAGTCTGGGACTTGAACCATGGTCAGCCATGTGGGAATCCATGCCTCAACCATCATGTCACCTGCTGATCCTTTTCCCTTCACCATTGATAGCCATTTCACATTTCCCTTTTTCCACTCTCACAGGAACCTACTCTAATGTGTGTGATAATTGTGTGATATGCACACAGGAGGTTTGGGGTGTGGGTATGTTTATCACATTACTTGCTTCCAAATGCTACATAATATTCTGTAACATGAATCCCCAATAGCTTATCCACTCCTTCTACAATGAACACCGAGGCTGCTTTCAGCTCTCCTTTACCCCAAACAACTCCATGATGAGTATCCCTGTATATTCTTCTTTATAAAACTACTTGGGAATTTTCATGGGATCTATGCCCCAGAAAAGAGTTGTAATATCAGTTTGCTTCACTGTGCAGAAGAGTTCTCTTCTCTCCTTATTCACAAAACATACATTATTACTTACCTTACTGATATTTGCCATTGTTGACTTCTTATCATGCTTTTAATATCTGTAGAATCTGTAGTGATGCTACTTTTCTCATTACTGGTATTGATAATTCATGTATTGATTTGTTTTCCCTTCCTGATCAGTCTATCTATTATCAATTTAATCTTCTCAAAGAGCTAACTTTTTGGTTTCATTGATTTGTTCTATTATTTTTCTTTTTGCATTTCATTGAATTCCACTCTTATCTTTATTTCAGTTCTTCTTTGGGTTTAACTAGTTCTTCAGTTTCTATTTTCTTAAGGTGAAAACCGAGGTCATTGACAAAAAGTGCTAATATAAGCTTTTTTTTTTTAATTTGCTATGGGCACATGCACTCACTAGAGAGACAGAGAGACAGAGAGATAGGAAGTGAAAAGCACTACCCTATAGAAATGGTCATGCCACAATCCTTTCTCTTCCATTCTCCTTTCAAGATCTTGGACACACACATGCACAGGTCGGGCATGTCTTTCAAGCCACAGGGTCCATGACTCAAACTACACAGTTGGCTTTGTGGGACCTAGCCACTATAACCACCACACTATTGATGGTTCCTAATAAAACCATTTAATGCTATTAATGTCTCTGAAAACAGTTATGTGATATTCCATAAATTTTAATGGATCATGTTTTCAATTTCACTTAGTCAAAATACTTTCTAATTTTGTTTTCAATATCTTTGGTCCATGGGTTATTTAGAAGTACATTATTTAATAAATAATTTCATTTCATTGTGAATAGACTATATATTTTGTATGATTTGGATCCTTTTCATTGTGAATAGACTATATACTTTGGATTTGGATCCTTAAAAAAATGTATTGCTACTTGTTTTATAGTCGATTCTGTTGGCTATCTTACTCTATGTTCCATGTACATTTTAAAATGTGGTTGAGTCAGCTCCTATTGCCCTATTGGTTAAGGGAGTTGGATTCCACATGAATGACAGAGCAATTCAAATCCTGGACCTGGCAGCCTGTGTGTGCATGCCCCAAATCCCAGAAGGGTGGAAAGTGGAGGAAAAGAAATCATAGCATGACCACACTCTATTGGGAGGAACTTTCTGCTTCTTCTCTCTGTCTTTCTGTCTCTGGTGAGTGCACACGCCCTCTGGCTGGCCTGGTAGGTGATGAAAGACACGTGGTCCTTCTTTGCTGCGGCTGCTAGCCGGCCATTGCCAGACACGGAAGCGAGGTCATCAGGCTAGCTGACCCCCAGCAAACTCACCGACTGACTGCATATGCATGAGAAGTCCAACCAAGTCTTTCTGAGCCTGGGCCATACCAGGAAGACTGCCCAGAAGAATCTATGTTTATGTGCATTTGCTGCTGCTATGTGGCATGTCCCATAAATGTCCAGTGCATATTTGATATTTGTAGCACATTTCAATTTGAATAGTTACATTTCAAGGATTCAAAGCTACATGTGGCCAGTGGCTATCATATTACATAATGTAGTTCTAGATGATCTATATTGTAAATGTTAACTAATATTATAATATGTTTATGTTTTCCTAATTCTGCAGGTAGATCAGACCATTTTAAGAACACCTTAGAATCTAGAAGCTACAAGAAAGAAATGTACAGAGATTGCAATTCAGGTTCAAGAAAGGGGGATATGTGGGTAAAATGTGAACCATTACAGGAATAAAAAGGACTTGAGGTGAATCTGTGGGAGATGAAAATAAGTCAAAACTCCGATTCTTCCCGTCTTTGAAAATGCACGTAGTAATGATGAGTTACCAGAATTTTAAATATCGAGTTTCTGATTCGTTCTTACGATTGTGTATAAAAGTGACGGCCTTTTATCTGAAGTCAGATGAACAAGTGGTTAGTGCTATGGGCAGCAGTGCAGCTTTGGGGATCTAGAGATGATGCAGAAGGAACTTTGGCTGGGGCCAGCAGGGGGTGTAGTGGTTAAGATGCTGGACTACTACGTGGCCAGCAGAAGTTAGCGTCCGTCACTAGGTGGCTTGAAAATAATGCCGGGTGTGAGTGCATGCATCCCCAAAATCCCAAGAGGAGAAGGGATTGTGAAATGGCCATCCCCTGAGGGGTAATTTCTCACTTTCCCTCTGTCTCTGTCTCCCCAGTGAGCACGCATGTGCACACACACACACACTATAGCAAAAATCTCTCTCATTAAAAAAAAATAAAAGAAGGGATCAGCGGATAGTATAGTTGTTAGGTCGCTGGACTCCCATGTAGTCGACGATGGTTCGAGTCTCGGACAAAGTGGCTTAAAATTCATGCTGGGCACGTGTGAGTACATGCCCAAAAATCCCAAGAGGAGAATGAAGAAGGGATTGTGGCATGGCCATAACCCTTGAGGGGTGATTTCTTGATTTCTGTCTCTCTTTCTCTCTCTGTCTCTCTGGAGATAGCACATGCCCTATATCAAAAAAATCTCAAAAAATAAAATAAAATAAGAAAAATTAACTTAAAAAAAAAGAAGTTACTAAGGCCTCTGAAGGTCCTGGGAGGACAATGAGTAGACTGAATCAATTCACTACCTTGGATTAGAAGGCCACTCAGAAGAAGCCTGCCTGGATAGGAGACTACACCCTTGTAGCAGACAGTGGGGAATGGCCACAGATGATGTTTCTTGTCCTTGTATCCATATCCTTAATAATTCTTCCCATTAGAGATAGAGCCTTCTTCATCACTTGAATTTGAGCTGCCTTGTTGTTTGCTTTGGCCAATGGTATACTTGCAACGATGACAGAGACTCACTATGCACTTGCCCACTGGGATTCCCCTGTTGCTGCTTTTGGAACTCTGTGTCCCCCACAATGCAATGGCTGGCCTGGTAGGTGATGAAAGACACATGGTCCCTCTTTGCTGCAGCTGCTAGTTAGCCATTGCCAGACACGTGAGTGAGGTCATCAGGCTAGCCAGCCTCTCTGGTTCGAGTCCCAGAGATAATTTTTTATCTGTTGAAGATAATTTTATAGTTTTATCAACTGGACAAGGGAGAAATGTTCACATGTTGAAATATTCACTTTGTAAGCTAATAATGTGATTGACTATATCAAAGAAAATGAAATTAAAAATTTTTTAAAAGTTCATAAGCAATGTATATTAGAAAAAGTCTATGGATTTTGAACTTTTTGCACCAAAATCAACTCATAAACTTTTAAAAACAATTATTTAATTTTATTTATTATCATTATTTTGTAAAGACTTATTTATTTTAATTTTATTTATTATCATTTAATGGAGGGAGAGTGAAGAGAGAGAGAGAAAGCAAGCTGCCAGGTCCAAGACTCAAACTGTGGTCAGACTTGGGAATCCAGCATCTTAGCCTCCATTTCACATGCTGTCCCAATTTATCATAATTATTTTTTAATTTGACCACAAAGAGAAACAGATAAAGAGGAAAGTGAGAAAGCAAGCAGCCAGGTCCAGGACTCAAACTGTGGTCACCCATGTAGGAGTCCAGCTCCCCAGCCACCATGCCACCTGCTGTTCCTTTCCATAAACTTACTGAAGTCCTCTGAAGACAGGGGAGATGGAGTAGAGGAGACAGGGATGGGAGAATAGTGCAAGTTTTTCTTAATAAAGCCAGAAGAGATGAGAGTCAGGGCTCAGTTGGGAGAATGATGCTCAGGTCGAATGATGGACACCTCCATTTAATTGGTGGGGGATGGGATGGGGATGGACACTGGTTGGTTGTACACCAGTCTCCCTTTATGATGACTTCTGTTTTGTTACCGAGGTGGGAGGTAAGAGGACCTCCTCAATGAGAGGGAGGAGGTAAGAAGTTTGTATTTCGAGAACAGTACACAGGGCTGAAAATGTTGTAAAAAGTCTAAGAGCAGCCTCAGGAAAGGAAGTTAAAATGTCTACAGTTAGAGTTGAGTTAAGGGACCAGTAAAGCTGGTAAGTATAAATCTGCAGAGGTACCGATCTGCTTAATGGTATTGTTGTTAGCCTCCACTCCCCTAGAGCTCTGTTGGCATGGAATTGCAGATCCCTGATTAGTTTCATGTCCGTATTTTGTCAGATGGATATGATGAAGGGATACAAGGAACAAAGAATTTAGAATGTTGATAAAGGTCAAAACGATGAATCATTGACTCTCAGTTGGGGAGCAGAGGATAAATGAAATGAAGAGGGGCAAGGGATGGTGGTATTGAAGAAAAGTGTTTGTAGCTGGGGAC